AGCCAGTTCAGCAGTGGTGTGCCCTTTAAAGCCGCTGATCACCCCTCGTTGCCGCACTTCCGAAGGAAATGATGATTTGATCACCTTCCCACGTTTCATGAATCACCACATGTAGTCTATTCATTCTTCCCTAAATATAGCTTTAAACATTCTGAGAGTTTAAAAAGAAAGTTGGGGGGTTTGGGAGTGAGGCCATCTTTTGGAGTTTATCAACCTCTCTTCTACAATCATGTTTATCCAATATTTAACTTAACAATGAAGGAAAACACCATTGTTCAGCCCTGTCTACTGTTCACTAAAGGAACTGAAGCCTCAGGCAGTCCAGCCCTTTAAGTTCAGATTGACAATTCCTATCGGGTTCCAGAACCTGATGCCTGCCCAGGTCAAGAGCAGCTCACTGTGTACGGGTCAGCTTTACCATCTGACCCAGTGTTATCCCCACCTGCGCTTCACTCCTACAGCCTTTAGTGAAAACTGCCTGACTTTGAAGTTGAAGGCTGCATTTCGGCAGGCAGAGTGCCTTCCTTTCTCTACTCCCTCCCGGAGTTGGAACAGATAATGGAGTCTGCAGAGAGGGTGTGTCCAACTGACCAAGGTCACCGCACAATGAGTCAGTGTAAATATCCAAATCACAGTTATAGACAAACTCAGCACAGGACAAGTGCAGTCGATAAGTATCCTTTTGTCTAGCTGTCCCAATGGTCTTCGGACAGAGCAAATCAGAGGAAGAAATCTGCTCCTGGCTAAGGTTCTGTCTTCACTAATCCGGTTGCAACCAGCAGGCTGGCATGACTTGGTGCCGCCCTCTGCACTGGTGTGCCTGTGGATGGTTTTATTGCACAGAAGCTATGTGTTCCGGAGGTGGGGGTGGGGGGTAGGGAGGAGGAGAGTAGAAAGATGAAGTCAGTTTTCTCCTGACACTTCCCAAGGATAAAATCTCATGAAGGACAAGCGGGCAATCTCTCCTTTGAAACAGTCAATCCAAAGAATCTAGAAAGTCCTTCAGAGTTGAGGATAGAGGCTCATACCTTCAAAAACAGCGCATAGAGAACAAGCGAAAGCAACATGATCAGCAACGTGTTTCAAGTTCATGTTTCCCAGGACTGTCTCTGTTTCAATCCCAGAGAGTGCCTGTAAGTCAAAGCCAGAGGCATCAAAAATGTGTTAAGGGTAAATGATCACACCAGGAGACACACACACACACACACACACACACACACACAAAGGGGCTCAAGGTCCTACCGAACAAATCTGAACTCACTGCGATGGAATTGATTCCAATTCATAGTGACCCTATAGGTTTCTGAGACTGTGTTTACAGAAATAGAAATCCCAGTCTTTCTCCTGCAGAGCTGCTGGTGGTTTTGAACTGCTGACCAAGTGTATTGCAGCCCAACCTGTGATGACAACACCACCAAAGGCTCTTGTTAAATGCTTTGCTCACCAAGACATCATTTAAAAAGTGAACGAGTGTTAACCCAAATGTCTTGCTATTTCCCACAGTTGCCTATCCTCCTCCCCTTAGTATCAAAATGGGATGAACTGGGCCTGATAATTTCTCCGCTACCCAAGGTCAGTGTAGCAATTGCTGTTTGGTGATGTTTGTCCTCTATGTCAAAGGAATAAACAATGTCTTCCTCTCTCTAAAGGCCAATAGTTATATTCTTGAGCACCTTCTGTGTGCCAGACAGCTGCTAGAATACAGTATCATTGATCCCCATCCCTCAAGGGACTTGTCTACTAGCCGGGGCAGACAATCCACAAGCTTTGCACAACTAAATAAATAAACCATACCAGGTTGTGATAAGTGTTAGGAAAAAAGTGAAAATGGGAATATGATTTTTAAAAAGTCCTCGCTCCTGGTGACTGAAGGTGGGGACTCGGGTAAAGAAGGTTGTTGAGCTTCAAGAGGCCGTGGAGTCAACAGGAAGATGGTTGAATTGCCAGTAGGGAAGACCTAGCTGCAGGGGAAAGATGAGACTCTACTTCCGTAAAGAGTTACAGTCCCCGAACCCCCCAGGGGCAGTTCCACTCATCCTGCTACAGGCTCACTATGAGTTTTAATGGACTCGATGACAGTGAGTTTTTGCTTTTGTTTTGACTTATATTCTTAGTATGCCACTATCATAAGCCTCGGTGTGAGTCCAACTCCATAGGCCTTCCAATGGAGCCCTGAAAAGGCTGATCGTTTTAGAATCTTGCCACAGAGGCACAGGAAAAAGACCAGTCTTTCTACTCCCACAAAGACTGACAGTTTATAGAAGTCAAAATTGATTTGGTGGCAGTAAGAAAATAGTAACTTGAATGCTGGAATGGCAAATAATGAAGCAAAGAATGAAATAGCATTGCCAATACGTATATTACCATTGTGGACCAAATGACCTGTCCGGTGTTTCCAAACAGGGCCACAAAACGTGCACATGTAGAACAAGTGGAGAGCGTCTGGGGAGCATTCCCCCTAGGAGGGAGACTAGTGCTAGCGCATTAGGACTGCCTTACCCCCAAAGTGAGCTCATATTGTCTTTTCAAAGAGAAAAATAATATTTGATTTCTTCACCACCAACTTTGTATCAAGCATTTTTCTACACGCTCTAAATGAATGAACTCATGTCTAAAGACCATTGTACACATTTTCCAAGTAAGATACTGAGGCACATATACATGTGATGGGTTGAATAACGGTTCCTCCCCAAATGCCCATGTCCTAATCCTCAGAATTTCTGCCTATGTCATTTTCCATGGTTAAAAAGGGACTCTGCAGATGTAACAATGCTGAAGGTCTAGAGAGGAGAGTGGCTATTCTGGGTGAACCGGGTGTGCCCAAGGTAATGGCAAAGATGCTTGAAAAAGCCAGAGGAGAGAATGTGGGCAGCAGAGGTTGGAATCAGGTGACCCAGAGTCAAGGACTGAGGGGAGCCTCTACAAACTGGAAAGAGTAATCGGAACAGATTGTGCCCTGGAGCTTCCCGAACAAATACCACCTTGTTTTGGGCCTGGTGAAACCAACTTCCTACTCTTGACCTTAAGAGCTGTCACATCATAAATCTGTGTTCCCTTAGGTCACTACATTGGTGCTAGCTTGTTACAGCAGCAAAGGAAACGAACATGCTGCCCAAGATCACAGAAGTACAAAGTGGCAGGGCAGGGATTAACCTCAAGGTCACCTGGCGTTCTTCCAGGGATTTAACCCCTCTGCAGCAGAGCGTCTCACAGGCAAAAGAAACTTGCAAGTTGAACACAAAATGGAGTTCTCCAAGGATTTTTCCTCTGCACAGAAGCCCAGGTCCCAGAGCAACTACAAGAAAAAAAAGGG